CTCACTGACTGTGCCCGACTGAGGTTTCTTTCAAGTGATTGCATACGTTCACAAAGTCTAACTCTGCACTCAATAAATTCCCGATTGCGAATATCAAACCGTCGATATGAATCTTCCTCTTCTTTTTCGGACTGCATTAGATCATTGTGCTCCTTGAATGTGGTATTGAATTTGTCTTTCAAGTTATCCAATTTGAATCTCTCTTCTTCTAATTGTTCTATTTTTGTCTTGGGTAAATTATGCAGCACATTAATCTTATCCATCTGTTGTTTTAATATTTTGAAGGCAGAGTTCCGATTAGAAAGTTTTGTTTCCAGCTGATAAGCCAAACCCTTTTTGGTCATTACTCTTCTTCATCCAGTTGTTTTGGAGAATTTGAATCGTGAAAGTTCTACACCTGCCACACTCCTGGGTGGCCCTTGGTATTTGAGGTGTTGCCTCAAAGTCCAACTCTGATGGTGTCCTAATATGTCCGAGGACCGGTTCGCTAAAAAAACTCATTGTTCCTTTGCCAAGAAACAAAGTACCAAAGGATTGAGACGAAGTTTAAATAGAATTCAAAACCATTTGGTGGAATGAAGCAAGGATATTTTACCATGACGCTTGTGACGAAAGACGAAACTTCGAGGGGTGTCGCTAAGGTGTGTTTGCTAAGTGTTGCTGATGTTAGGACTATTTTACAGGTCATAGTAAAACCATGAAAACCAAGATGACGGCTAATGGTGCTTATTCAGATCACGAAGACAAAGACGAAGACGATCACAAAGACGATCACGATTGTAAACTGAAATTTCAATAATATAACGAATGCATGAATCTACTTGAATTGGTGCGAAAGGCATGAAAGAAACGCTTTACTTGCCTATGTCGATAATGCAATTAAAATAACAACAATTAATGTAAATTAACATAAACAAATCATAAAAGGCTAAATTAAAACTACTTGAGATTCAAAGATCAGCTACACGACGAACATTTGCGGCTGATTAACAGCCCAAAAACCTAAAATGTGGGCATTGCTGTCTGAGCATCTAGTTCTTTCAAATTACTCTATTGATTTCAAGATGATTAGTTGTACTATTGTACAACACAGTACAAATGTACACTATTGCCCAAGGTGAAAAACTAAACTGAAACACATGGAAATAAAACTAACAAAATTGCTTACATATCGGTCCTGCTGGTGCCAAAGGTTTAGAATGAAAGAATGAAGGTACTGCTATTCAAGGCAAAATCTTGCAAAACTCTGGCTTAAAGGGACGCTAACTTAGCTTTTATATGCACATGGTGACGCTAAAAGATCCAATTGCAAACCAATAGGAAAAAGATAAACATTGAAACTATGATCGTAACTAGGCACACAAAGTAATTGATAATTGATCTAATCAAAAAACTGTTCTTTTGTTCGATATCCTTAACAGTAAACCTCAAATTCCATTATGTTCCAGTGTAGCTAGGGGAATGTTGTGGTCTACTGTATCAAAAGCTTTACTTAAGTCCAAAAATATCCCGCAAAAATTTAATTTACTTTGAATGGTTCTTTGGATTTTATCAGTGATAAGCATAGAAGCCTGAATAGTGGAGTGTCTACTACGAAAACCAAATCGATTATCATCTAGTATATTATGTTTATTAAGAAAATTAACTAATCTATTAGACATTAGCTTCTCCATTATTTTATGGAAAACAGATAACAGAGTAATTGGTCTTTAATTGAATACTAAAGCCTGGTTACCACTTTTGTACAGAGGTATTACTCTGCCATGGTAACACAAGATGCTCTTCAATAATTTAAGAATTTTCAGTAAGATTCTATGTGACCCCAGTGTTTTATTCGCATTTAGGCTAGAAATAATATTCTCAACTTTCGTTAGTGATACTGGTGATTAATTAAAACTGTCGCATTGTGAATTTGTTAAATATTCCACAAAGATTCTATTGCCAAGTTGAATGCCATTGGCTAGACTAAGGCAAAATATTTGTTGAATGCATTAACTGTATCTTTGGCATCAGTTAAGGTGTTACCATCAACTGTTTATTTATCTCAGAAGGACAATTTACTATGCTTAAAGCCAATAAGCTGCTTAGTACCCTTCCATGTGGCTTTTGCATTATTAACATGGTAAGTAAAGTATTCTCTATAATAGAGTTTTTACTAGCAATTAAAATATGCTTTAGTTTCTTCTTGAAAATTTTATAGCGAGAGTGATTACTTTGAGACTTACCGTAATTTCCGGTCGATTACCCGCACGGCCGATTACCCGCACCGGCCGATTATCCGCACCGGCCGATTATTGCATACGGCGAAAAAAAAAGTCAACGGATTACCCGCACCGGTGGATAACCCGCACGTTGTTATTCAACTTTTTCGGTGGCGAAAACGTGACATTAAGGCGATACATTTCAGTCTTTCGATTCAGACATGTGCACAATTCTGTGTCAATATTAGCTTATACTTTATTGATTGATTATTACTGCTGCTCTATTACCGATTTCATCGGCAAGAGTTATTACTCTAAGCTTATAATCAAACGTAAAACTGTGACGTGGGCGTTTCACTGCAGGCATTTTAACTTAATTGGTGACTCGTGGATACACTTATCGCGAATGATCGAGGTTTATAATTCTTATTCAGTCAGTTACCTTTTTATAGCATGTAGGAGCGTAATGAGCAATATCCATTGTTCATTTGTCGTTAAAATACTTTTTCAGCGCGAAATTAGTTAAGTTTCGCACCTATTATTTTCAACATTCTGGTGATGCATTTGGGATTTAAAATTACTGTCGGCAATTTCTCAAAAAAATCGATATCTCCTGTTCTACTGGGCCTAACAAGTCCCTTAAAACGGGAAAATTCTCTTTAGCTCAAGCTAGTGAAAACTGGAAATTTGTTACTGATGCGCCGGATATCCTTGGATTATTTTTGTCACCATCAAGGTTTTGTTTTCACGCGTGCCGATAAAAATTTGTTTGTCACGCAACTAATTATGCGTGAAATAAACTCGAGTTGGCATCATGTTTTCGTGCCGCTTTGTGGCACTTTTGATACAATAAAATTCATTTGAGAGGTGGAAACGCAGGTAGGTGAGAAATTTTTTCAATTCAACTTCCAGAAGAATTTAAAATTGTCACATAACCCGCACCTCCCTATTACCCGCAGTGGCGCGGATTTAATGCAAAATCAACAGATTACCCGCGGGTAATCGACCGGAAATTACGGTACTTTTTATGTAATGTTTTCTTAGCTTATTTTATGTTTTAATAGATATATTAATACCCTGAGTAATTTCAAGGTTTGGACTAAAATTTTGTTCCTCGTTTACTGAACTTTTTTAAAGGAGCATGTTTGTCTATTGTAGTATTGACTACAGAATAAAAGGAATCAAACATCTGATTGATGTCACTTTCCCTAAAAACATTATCCCACTGAATTGACTCAACATCTGCTAAAAAGTTATCCTGATCAAAGCAAGAATAATCACGTGCAAACCTGGTCATATCACTTGCTGTCCAAGATTTGTTGATAATTGAGAAATTTGTTAAATAATCTGTAAGGTCACAAACCAAATTTCCACTTGTAGCAACAAATTTATTAGAGTTAAAGAAAATATGTGATCAGTGATTCTTGTAGGCTGCAGAATGTGTGGTAAGAAGCCATAAGAAATCACATTATTAATGAATTCCTGTTATCTGAGTCTTCAAAGTTCAGAAGATTTATGATATTAAAGTCACCCTTGAATAAACACAACTTCTTAGTTTTTGAAAGTTTCTCTAGAGTTGAGAAAAGATATTTGTTAAAGTCCTCAGTTTTACCACTTGGGTGTCTATATATGACAGTGCACAAAATATTTTTATATGGATCATGATTAATCTCAATCCATAGAGATTCAAACTCTTGTCGTTGAACAAAGATCATCTCAAATATGAAATTGAATCCCCTCTGATGAAGAACCACACATCAACAGCATTAGTTAGAGTTGACTTGGAGACAAAATCATATCCTTCAATAGCAATATTGCTAGTTAGATCACAGTTACTTTTTATCTTTGTTTCAGAAAGGCTAATAACATGAAATGATTGCTGTACACAATTATAGTAAGCTTCCTTCATGAACATAGCAATGTATCGGGTGATTCTAAAAACCAAATCTTTGTCACATGGACATCTTTCATAGAAGGTGATAACAGTGGTGATAACAGTAATGATGACAAGGATGATTCAGTTAACACTGACTCCCATTTGGGTTAGGAATCAAAGAGCTTGAAAATTTGTGAGAAAACAAGCCCCTGTGTATATCTGATTGATTGAATCTAATGCATTCATTGGCACATCAGAATAAAAAGAAATGGTGTTCTTTGATTCTCCTAATTGCTCTTTCCACATGAATACGAAGACTTGCAATTGTTTCAGTTTGCTGTACATTCTCTGATGAAAACTGAGCTTGACTCCATAGGAAAGGAGGTGTAAGAAACAGCACTTGGGTATTAAACGAAGATTTATTGTAAACAACTATATGCAGTCAAGTGACGTTCTACAACGTTTTAGGAACTCCAGCACACGGTTGTGCAATCACGCGTAAATGCATTTCATTGGCTGAATCAACAATATAACAGAAACTCGTGTGGTTAGATATCACATAGCAAGTCACACAATTTGTCATATCTTCCCTTTTTCCAAAACATGTTAAAAGTACATCCACTGTCATTTATAGGTTCTTAACAAGTTCTCCTTGCAAAGTAACAAAGTCCTTAAGCCAGCCGGGCGGCCTCGTGTGCCGTTGTGGTCTCTGTGACTCGGTGGTTTCTCTTGGTACCGACAGGGGGCATTCTTCAGGTGGGGCAGTTCCGTCGGCTCCGACACTTCTGCATGTAAGGTTTTCTGGGTCAGCCATGTCCTCTGGCAATGTGGCCTCGTTTGATTCTCCTTTCTTGATTAGCTGCCTTCGATTTCTCCTGTAAACTGCATTACCTACTTGTACCCTGAAGCTCCTCGGGCCTGCGTTATCCAGGACTCCACGTTTTCTCACCGGGTAGTCTCATACGTACTGCATCCCCGACACTGATTGGCTCCAAGGGACTGGCTTTCTTGTTATAGTAGAACTGTTGCCACTGCTTTGTATCAAGTAGTTTGCAAGTGTCTTCTTCTGTGGGAAAGTTGGGCTGCAATAGGGAGCCTGCGATGGGGAGCAGTGTCTTACAGCGGCGACCCATCAGATGTTGGGCAGGACTGGTTCCAATTCCAGCTGTGGGCATGTTGCGCCAGTCTAATAGTGCTTGAAACTCTGATGTTCTGGGTGCCTTGCACTTTCTAAACAAGGTTTTGACGGTCTGCACTGCTTTCTCTGCCTTTCCATTAGACTGAGGATAGGTTGGCAACAATGTCTTGTGTTCGAACACCCATGTCTTCGCGAAAACTGCAAATTCGGCAGAGGAGAACTGCGAACCATTATCCGTGACTAGGGTGTCGGGTACGCCATATCTTGCAAATATCGCTTTCAGCTCCTTGATTACGGCACAGGAGGTAAGGTTGCTCAGGTGAGCTACCTCGATAAAGTTACTGTAGTAGTCACTGACAACTAACAATACTCTGTTGTCAAACTCACAGAGGTCAGCAGCAACCCTAGCCCAGGGCTGTGTGACAAACTCATGCTGGAGCATTGGTTCCTTTCCTTGGCCAGTGCGATGTGTCATACAGACGTCACACTTGGAGATGTATTCTTTGATCTCCGTGGTCATCCGTGGTCATACGTGGCCATTACAGGGTGTCTCTTGCTCGGCGTATGCATCCTTCAATGCCAATGTGTGACGCGTGTGTCTTCTCCATAAGTTCCTTCCTCAAAACTGCAGGAACAACAATCTGCTGACCTTGAAAGACAAGCTCATTCTGGATGGTTAGTTCATCACGCACATCAAAGTAAGGACGCACACATTCAGAAACCAGTGCCCTGTTCTCAGGCCATCCGATTCTGATGATGTCTGGTAGTTTCTGCTGTACTGGATTGTCTGCCGCTGCATTCCTCAGTTGTGTTGGGAGCCATACATGGTGATCTATGTCTTCCACCTCTCTTGTAAACTCGGTAGCATTTACTTCCGGCAGGTAGGCGCGACTCAGTGTGTCTGCTAGAAGCATTTCTTTTCCCTTCTTGTACTTGACTTGCAAATTATACTTCTGCAGCCGCAACAGCATCCTCTGCAGGCGCTTCGGAGTTGCGGCCAGTGGTTTTATGAAGATTGCCTCCAAGGGTTTATGGTCGGTCTCCACGTTTACCAGGTCTCTGCCATAGACAAATGCATCAAAGCGATCACAGGCAAACACAATCGAGAGCAGTTCCTTCTCTATTTGGGCATAATGTGTTTCAGCCGGTGTCAGTGCACGTGAGGCGTATGTGACTGGCTGTCCGTTCTGCATAAGTGCTGCTCCAAGCCCAGACTGGGACGCATCACACTGCAATGTGACCTCCTCTTTAAGATTGTAATAGCGTAGAACTGGGGTGCGTGTCACCATTTCTTTGAGCTTCTCGAATGCAGTTTGTTGAGCTTCATTCCAGACCCACAGAACATCAGACTGCATTAAGTCCCTTAATGGCTTGGTGACGTCCGAAAGGTGTGGAAGGAACTTGGCGAGGTACTGGGCCAGTCCCAGAAGTCATTGCACACCAAGCTTGTCTGTTGGGGCTGGCATCTCACTGATAGCTTGAACTTTGGCAGGGTCTACTTCTAGTCCCTTGTCGGTTGCCATGTGCGCAATGAACAGCACTTGCGACTGGCGCAATTTTAGCTTCTCTGGATTTAGATGGACATTCTTTGCTTCGCATTGTTTGAGGAACTTGAGGAGATTTTTGTCATGGTCTCGTGTCACTTCCCTGAATGTCTCGCCGTATCCAACTGCAACGAAGTTGTCAGCAACTACCTCAATACCCGTCATACCTTTAATGAGCTCGTGCATCTTCCTTTGAAACACTTCTGGCGCGGATGAAATGCCAAACTGCATGCGCCTGCAGCGGCACGGTCAAATGGTGTTTGAAAGGTCGTCAGGTATGGAGATTCTTCATCTAGGCTTACATGCCAAAACCCATTCCGAACATCCATAACCGTGAAGACTTTAGCTCCGTGGAGGCGTGTCGCGATGTCCTCCACTGTCGGGAGCTGGTACTTCTCTCTTTGTATGGCATGGTTCAGGTCTTTGGGGTCAAGACATATGCGCAGCTTTCCATTCTTCTTTGGGACAGCAACAATGGAGCTTATCTATCTGGTGGGCGTGGTTACTTGGACAATGATACCTGGTGCTTCCAGAGCATCCAATGTATCCTTGAGCTGAGGCCTTCATGCCACTGCAATGCGACGTGGAGCATGTTGTACAGGCAGGAGAGTCTCATCCAATCTAGTAATCTTATATTGACCGTCAAGTTGTCCGAGGCCCTCGCCTAAGACATCTGGGAACTTTAACATTAACTCCTCCTTGGTTACTGGTGATGGCTGGTCTTCTATGGCATAAACAGAGGAACCTCCTGTCTCAGGCTTGTTGAGCAGGTCATTGTCCTTGTACTGGATGATGTTCATAGCTAGGCACGACTTGATACCAAGAATCGGACGAATTTCTTCACTGTCCACCAGGCGACAGTCCAGAAGGCATGACCTCTCATTTCTCCAGACACGGATGCTGACGCGGCCGATGACTTTAGTTTTTGAGCCTCCATATGCAACCAATGATGCCTGAGTGTGATTCACTTTTTCAAGCTACTCATCTTTAGATGCCTTCCCATAAACCTGTAGCGGCAGCACGTTACACTGGGCTCCAGTGTCAGGTTGGAAACGGATGAAGTTACCAGACTCTAGCTTCAGTGTCACTAGTTGTGAATCATCGAGTCTCACGGCTGCTACCTCTATGTGGTACATCTCACCAGCCTCATCATCTTCTAAATCGGTCGCCTTAACTTCCTTTGATTTGCATCTTGATGTGAAGTGGTTCCGCTTTGCACATTTCAGGCATTCCTGTCCTATTGCGGGACAGGATTCCGAACTTTCCTGGTGTTGATAGCCACATTTTTCACAGTCTCTGCCATGCCGCCCCTGACCTTGCTGTTGTCTTCTACGAGTTGTTTTCTTGGATTTTCGAAAGTTAGGCAGACATTCCTGCTCCAGTTTGTTTGCCTCCAGTTCGGTTCGGTCTCCAACAATTTTCATCTGTGTTTGCATGCTTTCAGCGGCGCGACAAATCTCATGAGTCTTTGCGAGGCTGAGTTTCGACTCTCGCAGCAGTTCTCTCACTTCCGAGTCGCGTATGCCGAAAATTAAGCAATCTCTAAGCATTTCGTCGGGGGTTATCGTGTCGAAGTCACAGCCCTCTGCAAGCTTACAAAGTGCAGTCTTGTACTGGTCATAGCTTTCTCCCGCTTCTTGTGTTCGACAATTAAATCGATAGCGCTCAAATCGTACATTCTTTTGTGGCTGGCAATACTCGGCAAACTTCTGTAGCACCAGGGCAATCTTGTTTTCGTCCCCTTCATTGGCCCAGTCTGTAAACGTTTTTTTTTTCTTTTTTTTTCTTTTTTTCTTTTTTTTTTTTAATTGCAATACGAAGAACACTACTTTACAAAACAAGACAAACACTACTTACAATACCACCTACAAGACGTTACTTATTCTACTTACTATATAATACTTCCTTAGACTGCAATTCTTACCCTACTTTTTACAGTTTTTTTTTTTTTTTTTTTTTTTTAACGCTTACACACCTATGTATCTATCAAATTATAATTCAAAATGGGTTTCCATTTAGCCTCTAGCATCTTCCTATCATTAAACTTAGCCGCAATGTGACATTCAGTTTCATATTTTCTTTTAACTAGTTCCTTATACGAGGGGAAAAAAGGAAGACTATTATTCCTACGGCAATTCCATAAATGTAGCTTACCTAAAACGATTAAGTAATTAAATAAAGAACAATTAGTATCTGTGACACCAATTAAAATAGTCTTTAACTCAAGTTTCCTTTGTTCTTTGGCTATAGCGATCCAATAAGATTCAAATTCTTCCCAAAATGCATGTGAGTGAACACAGTAAAAGAATAAGTGATCAATTGTTTCCGCACTAGTATTGCAAAAAGTGCAAAGATCGCTTTGTATTAAACCTATCTTAGCTAAGCGGGAATTTGTGAATAAAATGTCATTTAGTATTTTAAATTGAAAGCATTGCACATATGTCTCGCAGATACAGGACCTTATTAATGAGAAGGCCTTTTTTGTTTCCACATCATCAATAGAAAATTTAGATTTCAACTTTGTGAAGCCTCTGGACTCTGTCGCCTTACTGGATATAAGCAAACCGTAGAAATCTCTAGACTTGCTAAGTGCTGGATCAAAGATTTTATCACCGATTTTAAATTGCAGTGATCTGACATGATCTTTTTAATTTCGTGGCATCGAATTCTTAGATGACTTGGTACTGCGCAACGAACACCAGTCCAGGTCAGAAAGTTGGAATCTTTAAAACCATTACGTTTTGCAAGGTTAAAGGACTCTGTGTTACTCAAACCAAATTTTAAGTCGCTTAAAAGAATAATATTTGCGCTATTATAATTATAATAGAATAAAGGTTTGCCGTTTACTCTAATGTTATGATTGTTCCAGATGATTGTTTCACGTAGACTTACAAGATCAAATCTAGAACTAAAATCTGACCACCAGTGTAACATCTCCTTATAAAATATTGGGGAAATGTTATAGTCATTAATATTATAATCACAATGAAGAAAAAATTCTCCACCAAAAGGTTTTAGTAAATGTAATAGATACGCTTTCCAGGGATAAAAGTTATCGCTTAGAAATTTTCCAATCCATGAAAGTCGGAGTGACATAATTGACGTTGTAAAATCAGTTACCTTTAGGCCACCAAATTCAACATCATTTATTACTGCTGTCCTGGCGATTTTATCAGGACCCTTCCAAAGAAAATTATATACTAGATATAGCTATCGCTAAGTGCCAACGAGCAACCAATGAAAAGAAATACTCATTGGTAATGTTAAAAAATGGAGTCATGTTTTGTGGGTGTAAATTTTAGTAGTGAAGTATTCCAACCAACGTGAAATGTTTTAAATTTTGAGGTGAATATGGTGAAAACGAAAATAAGTTTCTTGATTTTACATTATTGCAATACAAAAGTTTGTGCTGCAATGATAGCCAAGTGTGTTTTCTTCCCTTTCTAAAAATTATGTGTAAAACTGAATAATATAAGGTAATACAGAACAAAAATGAACCCACAATAACAACTCTTAATTGTATATGAACTGTAACAAAATATTTCTGAATCACTAAATAAATTTTTTCTTCACAGTCATTCAACTGGGATAGCACAACTATTAAGTTTGGGATGCATGGGCCAGTCTGAGATAACACATGCTACATCAGTATTAAACAATAATTTTAATTTTCCAACATCGTTCGAGACAGTCACACAATGTTATTGGACTGTTCACACAGAATGAACTAATCAGAGTTTACTTCTGGACGTTTAAAGGAAAGAACTTTGTATTGTTCATTGTTTGGACATTGTTGACCAAACAAATATTTTCTTCGAGACAATATAAGATAAACTTCAACGTCATTAATTTTATCCTTAATTAAGGGATGTATAGAGCGAAATCTCTAACACATGAATCTAAACTGTAACAAAATATTTTTCATTCACTGCTATAACGTTCCTCAAAGTCAAACACCTGGGAAAGCAGATGCACA